CAGGTTACGCATCATATGACGATCGACATCTGAGGTGCCTCAGTTATCACCTGAGGCAAGAGTCGATCTGAGGCACAACATTATCACTAATTTTTAATAATCACCAAATCGAAAAAATCCGCCTGCATGTGCAAACAAATAATAATAAATTTAGAACTCAGTATACATAATGATAATGAATAATTTATTTAATCCTAATCCTAATTACATAAATACTAGGTATGATACGTATGTAAAAAGAATATAGCTAAATTATTAGCAATTGAAGTTAATTCTAATCTTACCAATAAGTGATTTCCCATCTCTAACGTAAATATTATTATCTAAAATAAATTTACTCATAATTATGACTATGCAATTATTAAATAATATAATCAATTACTTTACTAAAACGAATCAAATTGCTATCAACAGTAATGATAGATGCATTATCTTCTATTACAGAATCAATTTCAAAATTTAAAAACTCGGATAAAATGTTAGGATATTTTTCCAGCTCGTAATAGTTTCATAAATTTCTAAAGCTGATGGACGTTCTTTTGGATCTTGATTCCAGCACCTCATTAACATAGTTTCATAACATGTTGGTGTACCCTTAAGAATTTCAGGCCTTAATCCCTCACAAATTTCCATAGTTAATCCTAAATCATCATGCTCAGAATGATCAGAAAATGCAACTTTTCCAGAAGAAATTTCCCACATAATCATTCAAAAGAATAAATATCTGATGCTTTTATGAATGATTTTTTACGTAAAACTTCAGGTGCTATGTATGGCAAAGCTCCATAAATTTTTCCCAATTCTGAGTTCAATGTTTTGTTAATTGATTTTGCAAATCCTAAATCACCAATATAAGCACTATGTAAACTATCTTGAAATATATTGTCACTATGTAAATCGCAATGAATAATTTCATGAGAATGAATTAATTGAAGATCATTTGCAATTTGAGATAATAAATCCAACTTTTTATTCCATTCCATTTTTATAATTACGTTGGGATTTTTACGTAAAGATCCCATTTTTGCATATTGCATAACTAAGATATAATCACCAGTATCTTCATCTTTTGACATTCCATAACATTGCAGAAATGTAGGGTTTTTAGATCCAATATTAGAATACATATTTAATTTGCAAATTAAATTAATTGTCAATAAAAAGGTTCAATGAAAATTTAATAAGCATTAAATATCATATATTTACCTCTTTCAAAAGTTCTTCATAACTATTGTTTGGTCCATGAAATAGTTTAAGCGCAACAATTTCCATTAAATAGTTATTATCTGTGATTAAATGCCTCTATGTACCAGAACATACTGTTGCAAATCCACCCTTTCCTATCTTTTGTGTATATTTTAATTCATTATATGAAATCCACAATACATTATTTTTAAGCAGTAATTCTTTCAGAACATTATCATGAATTTCATAATTAATTATCCTTCGGTAGCTATTGCTTTTTGCTTTTTGCAACCATTCGATAGCTTTTTGTTGATTAGCTAATGTTCCAATACCATTTCGATATCATAATCCAAGTTCGTATTGCGCAGCAGAATTACCACTTACTGCAGATTTTAAATACCATTCAAATGCTTTCTTTTCATCCTTATTTGTGCCTGTACTCTCGGTGTAGAGACGACCAAGATTATATTGTGCAGCAGAATTGTCATATTCGGCTGATTTCAAATACCACTCAAGTGCCTGATCTTCGTTTTTGTTTGTACCTATGCCATAGTGGTAGCATAATCCAATACCGCATTGACCACCAGAATTACCACCTTCTGCAGATTTCAAATACCACTCAAATGCCTTATTTTCATCTTTAGTAGTTCCTATACCATTTCTATAACAATTTCCGACATTACATTGGCCATCAGAATTACCACCTTCTGCAGATTTCAAATACCATTCAAATGCCTTATTTTCATCTTTCGTAGTACCTATGCCATTTTTGTAGCATAATCCAAGATTATTTTGTCCTTGAAAATTACCGCTTTCAGCAGATTTCAAATACCACTCAAATGCCTTATTTTCATCTTTAGTAGTTCCTATACCATTTTCGTAACAGTGTCCAGCATTACATTGTCCACCAGAATTACCACCTTCTGCAGATTTCAAATACATTCAAATGCCTTATCTTTATCTTTAGCAACGCCTATGCAATTTTAGTAGCACCATCCAAGATTATATGTCCTCGAGAATCACCGCCTTCAGCAGATTTCAAATACCACTCAAATGCCTTATTTTCATTTTTAGCAGTTCCTATACCATTTCTGTAATAGTAACCGACATTACATTGTCCATCAGAATTACCACCTTCAGCAGATTTCAAATACCACTCAAATGCCTTATTTTCATCTTTAGTAGTACCTATGCCATATTCGTAGCATAATCCAAGATTATATTGTCCTTGAGAATCACCTCCTTCAGCAGATTTCAAATACCACTCAAATGCCTTATTTTCATCTTTAGTAGTTCCTATACCATTTTCGTAACAGTATCCAGCATTACATTGTCCACCAGAATTACCACCTTCTGCAGATTTCAAATACCATTCAAATTCCTTCTTTTCGTTCATGATAACATCTCACCTGAATGTTTATTTAAAATTCATTGAGGATAAACATAAAGGACAAATTGGGTATTAAAATTTCAAATACATTTGATGATCTTTACTTAATTGAAAGTTGTTAAACAAAGTAATTATCAAACGCTCTTATAAAAATATGAACCAATAGGTGAGCGAAAACTTTATGCGTAGTTTCAGCATGCAAATTCAAAAAGAAAAAAACAAGAAATCTATGTTGTATCTAGAATAGCTATGTAACTATATATGAAGTAGCTAGTTTAGAGGTGCTACTTTAGGTATTTAAAGTGATATAAGATTTAATGTAAAAATTGAAGAGCTTAAGTGTGTATGATTAGCATTAGCAGCAATTAAAAATCTCAGCCAAATTAATAATTAGCATTTTTAAATGAATTGGCATTTTAAAATATAAAACTTCAACAATTCGGAATTATAGTTAGTTACATAGGATTGAACGTCATGCTGCTATATTTCAATAACTGATTAATTAATTCAATTTTTTGTGCCATAAATAAAGAATTTTACCAGATTTTAAAACATAAATAGTACAACTACCTGGTAAATTTAATATGTACATTATTCAATTCTAAAAAAAAAAAAAAAAAATGAAAATATGAACGAGCAATCAATCAATCAATTGCATCGCGGAGTATTTGAGGAATTTGACCTTTATCTAAACACCAAATTTAATCATTTTTAGATTCTTTATATATCAAAGAAGGGTCTACTTTATAAATTTTGAGTATTTAATAAACCGCTGCGATACTCTAAGAAAACAATAATTTTCTATCATGAACTTCTTTTTCTTTCAAAACGATCCTTTCAGAAAATTTGATGATGAAATGGGTGAGCTTAAAGCATTAAATAATACTAAAAATTCAGATGATTAGGAGATTATAATAGTTGCTATAATAATTGGTTTGATGTTAAAAGATAATTGAAGGCATTTATTTTTCATTGAAAATTATAACTAATTGGCTACTATTTCTTACATCTAAACTCTAAATTTCCCAACAAAAATTTTATCCTTTAAACTGTCCAGCATCAAGTTTGGACGCTAGAATTTTTTAATCCATTTTTGTCAATTTACTCTAAATTTTTATTAAACCTTACCCGCTATTTTCGAAGCTAAAATAAAGACGTATTACATGTTAGCTACTATAAAATTCTCATTTCGTAAAATTTCTTTAACAATATTCCAAAAATTAATTATCGTAATAAGACTTGTTTTTTTATCCAAAGTAAAAGTGAGGCCTGCACGTGACACTTATAAAGGCTCTTCACGTACAGCTTTTTTATAATATAACGTTAAAGTTGATCAGAGATTCTTTCATGACCAATTTTACATAATTGGTTTCTGAGACGATGTTATAGAGATATAGCTGCTTAAAAGTTCAGGTTACATAGCATAATTCAAAGTCTTATAGAATTTTCCTTTTGTTCAGTTTATATTAAATGTTCCACGCCCTAGCTGTGGAGTGTGCAATGTGACTCGGATCTTTGGAAGTCATTGTAATCAATTAGAATAGAATAGAGTTTGTATTGAAAAAAACTTTTTTTGGAGCTCAATTTCCAAAAATTTTAGAGTGAAAATTTGTATACTAAACCGGTCGATTTATGGGACAATTTAAAATTTAAGAATTAGGTACTTGAAATATTCGAGGAGTTGGAATAGAATAACTTATTAAAAAATTCTTTAATTCTAACCTTAAAATTTTCGAATCAACTAAATTTTGTTCCCATTTACGACAAAATACATATGATTAAATGAAAATTTAGAATCATCACAACAATCATGGGTTACTTAGAATTTTAGAAGTCTTCATGATAATTATCACAAAAATTATGTCTTTTTTTTGCAAAGTGTTATAGTCGATTAGGCAGGTTTAAGTTTATTGCAGTTTGCAAAAAGGTGTGATTGCAAATTATGATGTGAATCAACAGATATTTTGATTTTTTCGCTGATTTAAAGATTTTGAATAAATATTGTCGTTTCTGACTGAAAAATATGATCGATAGGTATTATATTTTAGATTTACTGGAATATTCCATTATCATCATCACAAAAATCACAGTCGTTTTTTTGCAAGCTGTAATAAAAACCATACTAAATTTTCTTAGTGAAATCATAGCGAATATTGAATAAAGATGCTTTCTGAGAAAATTTTCATAACCGATGTAAACCAAATATATATATATATATTTAACCGATAATCAATTATAGATTTCAGTTTTATGTGAGTGCTTTGTAGCAATATTAAAACGAGTTTTAAAGCATAAATTAACCTGATAATAACCAAAATAATACGATTTATACATTATATAATAAATTAACTAAAAGTCGTTATCAAAATTTAGCCTATAAAATTTTATTTAACTAATCAATTTATTTGACTTCATTAAAGTTGTATTAAAGTTGTATCAACATTGAAACTATCAAAGGAACAAATAAACTTAATTCTATTAAAAACCAAGACTTGAATGAATTGGCGTCACTGGTACTAGTTGGACCTTTGGAAGGGGGAGTTGGACCTTTGGAAGGGGGAGCTGGACCTTTGGAAGGGGGAGGAACAGGACCATGGTCAGACTTAGATGTGGTACCATGGTCAGGCTTAGATGTGGTACCATGGTCAGACTTAGATGTGACACCATCGTCATGCTTAGATGTAGTATCAGACTTACTTACAAGTGTTTTTAAGTTAGCTATAATTGGTTGAGGCGATTGTATAATTTGGAAGCCGGTTTCAGAACTAACAACAACTACACAATAGATAATGAGTGGACCGACATCACTCGAAGGGGGAGTCCACAGAAATTTAGAATTGCCTGGTTTTTCTTTAGCAGCTGTATATGAAATAAGTAAAATAAATAAGCTATTACGTTTGAATAAATATATATAAATAAAGAAAATCACACACAGCTATGAGTAAGAGTTCCTTTTGGATCACCGGTACAATTTTTTAATTTGTAGCCAGATGGAACATCCCACTGGCCAACATGGTTATCTGAAGAATCTGCAACATAAAGTAAGAGGCCTTTGAAATTTGTTGGTCCAGTAAGTGAAATTTGCATCGCAGGACCATTTGGAACGTAGGTATTGTCAGAGGTAATTTCGTAGCCTAAGTCACTCTCTAATCCCATAGGAGATTTCTTCACACCTTCGATAGTTGCTTTATCTGCAGTACATGTGCCTGAACCGCTAGACCATGCATAACTGACAGTTGCAAAGGTCAAAATAATTGTTATGCAAAGGAACGCAGTGTAAAATATTGAATTATAGTTGTTAGGCGAAACCATTTTGCACAAGTGGCGAAAGATGAAACCTAAACCCGGAGAAAGGCGAAATATCTGGCGAAAGTCAAAACTCTCGGTGAAGATTAAATTTGGAAAAACTGAAGAATAAAAATGTTTTGCGTGTGGCTATTAAGTATCCCATGTGGCTTATATAAATGTACAAAGCAGTAAACAAAACGATAGCCTTTCGTTTGTATTCGAGTGTTATTAAAAGAAAATTAGACTTCAGGCTTTTGAACTTATAATTAAATAACTCAGCCTTGAAAATTCCAAGCCTGAAATCATATTTTCTTTTAGAAACGTTTATCTATGCGTTAATGCATAATTATTTATGTAAAATAAGCTCAAGGTTTTTTATTTAAATAAATTTTATTGTTAAACTATTAAAATTTTTTCTCTTTAACATTTTATTGTTAAAACGTTAAGTACTGTACATATTTAAATACCCGTTAACATGATGCTCTAATTTTAATTTTTGAGAAAATAATTGTCATGTTGACTTATATGTAATAGAGCAAATATAGTAAAGTTTAGATCGTTGAGATAGTAAACATTGTATATCACCTATATCTTAAGTAAAAAATATAATCATGCATATATTGTGCGTCAAATTAAAATTCGTCAGGTAGATGTTTAAATAGTGTTGGTGTGGAATCAGGTTTACTAATTTCCCAACCATTTTCTACTAATTATTCACATCTCAGAATATCTGTTTTTAATCAATTTTATGGCACATACTCAGATAGTGAAGTGGTGGAGAAAATTAGTAAACCAGTGTAAACCTAGGTTAGTGTTAGTAATTGAACCTATTTTGAAAATCCAAACCCAGGTGCCTGAGTCACCTAGGCAGTAATATTAATGAAGATTTATTATTTAATTACATGCGAAGATCTATCTGATTTATAGATGTTTGTAATTGGGAACGGAATTGGAATTTTTTTAGTAAAACTATATAATTTTAGGGTAGAATTTATTTTATGTAAACCTACACTCTAACCCTAAAAATCCTAAGAAATTTCAAATCCACTTAAATTCCGTTTCCATTTACAACGTAAATATATACTATTTGATTTTATTCACTAATGTGAGTATAAGCAGGGATGTACGTTTTTGATGTCCAAAGCCTTTTTTGGCATGTCCGACGTCGAAACGTCCAAGTGTCCAAAGCTCATCTAAGCTTTAATAATTAAAAAAAATTATTTTAAAATAACATAGTTATATATTTTATTTAATTTTAAACATTTTTACTTAGAAAGTTGAAATGGTTTGTCTTAATAAAATTTTGAGCAATTTTAATATTTAAAAATGTCAAAGATGTCCAAACTTTGTCCAAAGGCTGTCCCGTGACATCCCTGAGTATAAGTACTTATTGATTGGCAAGTTTATGAATTAGTGATGGGTCCCAAATTACTTATGGCAATTTGGAACTGGGATTTGGACATTTGCCAAATCCCAAATATAAGCAAATATAAGCCTAAATCCTAAATATAAGCCTAAATCCCAAATATAAGCTAAAATCCCAAAATTCTAAAACTCCAAACATTGATGGCTTATCAACAAAGTGACGAAGCAAAAATTATTGCGAGCCAATATTATTACGAAACCAGTTATATATTTGCGACAAATGTATTTCATGTGATTATATTTTTCATCATTTTCGCTATGGTTTGACTCAATCATTTATATGATTATATCTTAGTGGCTCAAAGACTGTAAATTAATACTTTTTAGTTGACAAATAGTTGACAAATTAAAGGCTCTACGACTGTTTTAACAGTGCAAAGCCTCATCAATTCTAATTGTTATTCGAGAGCAAAGTAAATTATAAAGATTTTTTACTTAAAAATACGGGATTTAATAATCTTGTTGGTAGGCTTTATAGTTGCATAGCAGTGCAAAGACCTTTAATAATTACGTTAATATGACCAAGTGGTGTGATAATACAACTATCATTAGATATTTACTTTCATCGGCAATAACTTCATAATCACAGTCTCAATGGATTTAATATAATATTGCTTTCTTCTAGTACTAAAGCATCATACTTTATTATTATGCATTTATTCTCAAGATTTACACAAGTATTAAGTTGAATTTAACATGAAGTGGCCAAGTTTTCATAAGTTTTGCACCTCATCTCTTTTATTGACAAAACAATAGTAGTATGTTTGAGTTTCCACAAGAGTTTTCATTTTATAGCCACAGCTTCTAAGCTATTCACTTCTCTCATTTTCGATAATATGATGCCGATCATTGATCAATTGATGAGCATAATTTATTAGAGCTGTTAACGGTTTGTATGGATTGGTCTGGCTCTTAAAAACCATGGTTCTAGCTCGAACCATGGATGTTTAAGCCACAGCTTGAGCCATGACTCGGGCCATGACTTAACTAATGGATCCAATGCCTATTGCTGGAACATGACACCCGATAGCCACTTAAGCATCTGAATCCGATTACTAGATATAACTATTTAACATCAGAGTTATCCAGTGTTTCTAAATCATGCTTATATTTATCCATTCCTTGTTTAGTGTCGCGTTATTTCCTCTATCTGTATGTACAAGCTTTACTTACTTCTTTTAGTGGTTTTATTAATTAATCAACTGATCAAATTTTAATTTGTCCAGCTCGTACAAGTTAAATGATTAATTGCTTATTATTTCTTCTTGCAAATTCTTTCGCTTAGTCTTTCGGTAAAGTCTTTGACGATCAGTGATTATCAATCCATCTGCCCGGTAAAAAATTCAATTCTAAAAAAAACAATAAAATTCGAAAAACAAATATATAAACCTATATTGATGTTAACTGGATCAAGCAGTTTTATATACAATTAATATATTTTAATATAAATATTGGTTAGAACTATTATTTTATTTACATTAAGAATAAATGTTCTTGTAACAGCCTGTGACATGTAACACCCTCATAGTAGTTAGAGTTAGGATTTGGGTTACACGGATTTTTAGTTGCTTTTATTGGTTATACTAATTGGGCTATTACAAATACACGTGTTATAGGATGTAACAAATATATTAATCCTTTATTTATTAGTCACAGAATATGTCCTTCCTGATAATTTATTAATAATTATTTTTTGTACAATATAGATTGATGTGACTTTTTTTCAATTACTTTACTCAACAAATAGCAAATAATATTTCAACTTTAACTAAGTTTTGTTTTTTGAGTTATATACTTTTGTTTTATACTAGAAATATTTGTCTTATTTTATTTTTTATAAAATAAAATTAGACCCAAAAATCACAATTTCTTGACACAAATATCAAGATTTTACTTTAGATTCATAAAATAAAGTCTATTTTACTTTGATAATAGCAACAAATAAAGTATTTTACAAATCAAATTATTGGTACAAGAGTACTTTGTTGTAGTTTTTATTAATTATTACTAGGTTTTAAATATTTAACCCTTTGATTAGATTATTTCTGAGATCTATATAATAAAATTTAAGCTTTCAAGATGATTTTAATATCTTTTAATATATATGCTAACTAATAGTAAATAAAAAAATTTTCTGTAAATGTAGCAATAATTTAGAATTTTAACATATTGTTAATATAAATTTTTTTTTTTTTAAGAGTAAGGCCTGGCCTCGGTCTTTATTTAATAATTTATGTTTTACATTTGTAGAATAAGTTACATAAATTACTACAGGAACCTACAGCTAGGACTACTTTATCCTTGGCCTAAAACTCTACTAGAGTAGACTAACAGACCTCATCTAGATTTATAGTAGCAATGTAAGATGTGGATATGTTAGTAGTTGGAAAGATGGTTGCCCATCTGTTGAACCTTGATATACTATGTTTTAGTGCGGGTGGATGTTCTGGAGGTGATATCGTAAGTGGGTTAGTTATCACCTCCTGCTTGTGTATTGTAGTACATCGTGTTTGCCAGATTGTTTCATATATGTTCTTAGAGATCTTATGTAAAAGTTGAGTGTAGTGGGTCTTAGATGGGGTAAAAAGCTTCTGAATATTAGAAGAGGCAAGGCCCTGTATTGTGGCTATAGAGAAAGTATTGTTGGATGTTATAAAGAACCTTTGTAGAATCGCAGTGACTGCTTGTTGGTATAACTTTTGTTTATTTAGAAATTTGATGATGGTTTGATGAATTAACTGGTATATTGTGGTCTGATTTTTGCTACATATAAGCCAGTGTATATTATCTTCAATTTCAGTATTGCACCTTCTGCATGTTGGATTGATGTAAGTTTTAGGATGACAGAAGTGTAGGTTTAACAATGTAGATAGTTTATTTAAAAGAAATTTTATTTTGAAGTTTTTAATTTTTGATAATTTAGGGTGTGTAAACCGGGTATATGGCTTATTATCATAATTAATGAAGTTATGTAGTAGTTTCCAATCTGTATTTTGTCATATCTGGTTTCAGGTTTGGGCTCTGTTTAGAGAATACCACCTGGCTATATTGTTTGCAGTTTGTATATATCTAATAAATCTTCGGGTCTTGTGTTTGATAATTGTCCCATTCCAGCTTATGAAGAAATTATTATAATCAAGTATATGAGGGGTAAGTTCAATTTTATTGTGTTGTGCTGATGTTGCAGTCTGTATTGTACATTGGAATAATGGAAGTTTCAACTTGGCCTCAATTAACATAAATTTGATTGTAATATTTTTTGTGCAATGATAGTGTGTATGAGTTGTTTAAGTGGCAAATATTTTGTTTTTGTAGTCTTATATTGAGGTTGAGTATAGTTTGTAAACTGTATTAACTATGTTGACTGTTGTAGAGTGTGGGTTAGGATTGTAATTTGACAGTCTGATGGTGCTATAGTAAGTATAAAGATTATTCTAACAAGA